CAGTCACATAATTAGTTGTGAGATTTGGTGGGAAGGGTGGGGAGAGATATAGCAGAGATCTTGTGTAGAGAAAAGCAGAGACTGCTGTAGCATCTAGAAGCAGGATCAAAAACAGCCATGGGGGAGGTGGGTGGAGGCATGTCTGCTCCTTCCCCCAGCACACAAGGAGAGCCTCTGGGATGTCCATCACTGCAGCCTCCTCTTCCTGCTTCCGGCCAGAGCAGCACCTCCCTGTTGGTCTCTGTCACTCCCCTTTTCCTTAAGCGTGGCCTGCCATGCTGTGCCCCTGCCTACGCACAGGTAGCCAGGTTGTGGGCAAGCCCAGCACCAGTCACATTCCTCTGCCGCCCCCAGTAGCAGCCCGAGAGGCTCCAGGGTCCTTCCAGGTAACGAGGTGTTGGAAGCCCGACAAGTCTTCCCTAGGCTCTTTGCTGGCTCCTGGAGTTAGAGAACAGAAAAGGGGGAGGGGGTCCTTTGCTACCTCCCCGTGGGAGTGCAGGTGACCCCATAACCTCTCTCCCTAAATAGGCAGCCCGAGACCTCGCCTTCCTTTCTGCAGGACTTGCGTCTTCTCTGGATTTGCAATAATCGGGTAATTCGAGTTTTCAGCTCCGTGTGCGCTGCAGGTCCCCCTTCAGCTCTTTTACGGCTTACCTTTTTTTTTTTCTTCTCTTTCTCTTGGGTCTGTCTCTTGTCTTTTCTTTTCGCCTGTCTTTCATCCATGGGAAATGCAGACAGCCCTCCACGTAAGTGCCTCTTCTACCTCGTTGCCTGTTTTCCATAGTCTTAACATCTGCTAGTCCTAGCTCTTAATTTAGTTCCGGTCCCTTCTTTGACGCCCCCCTCCCCCACTCCTCGTGGCTGACGTAGATGGCACTGTCTGGGCCCTAACCACACTGACACTAGTCTAGTTTGGCGCCTGTTAATGTCCGTAGGTGACTCTGAGAGGCTAACACTCGGCTTCTTGTAGAGCATGCACCCCTTGTGTCTTCTCGAACTTGTCCTCGCTCATGACGTGTGTGTGTGTGTGTGTGTGTGTGTGTGTGTGTGACAATGGTCCTGTGGAGAAGAGGATGTCCGCCCACCCGAGCGTGGGGAGGGCCCTGAGTAGCAGGCCAGAGATCCACCTCACCGCCAGGGTCCCAGCAAAGCCTACCCCAGCCTCACCAGGGCCGAAATCCAAATTCCTCTCAAGGGCCAAAAGAATCCTGCAGGCTTCCCACATGTGCTAGAGGAGCTAGGGAAGTGGGCTGGGACCCCCGTGCAGTAGCTGTCCTTGTGCGGGGCCAGCGCCAGCCTGGTTGCAAGGCACGGACACTCGTCGCACGCAGGCAGCCGTTAGGGCGTTATACCTTCCGTTCCAGCCAGCTATGTTCTTTGGCACTGGCAATGTGCCTTTCCGTGTTTGGGAAACAACTGGCCAATGGCCCTGGAGAAGAGCTCCCTGAAGGTGGGGATTGCAAATAGACTACTGCACAGGGTGCCAGGTCAGCAGCCCAGCCAGCGGGCCAGCCTCAACCCCAGGGAGCCCATCTGTGGCCCTACCTCCTCGGCCTGCCTAGCCTGCCACCCCTAGCGTCATGGCTTTGGCTGAGACAGGGCCCTTTCCCTCAGGCTAAGCTCAGAGAGCCCCGGTGCCCAGGAGAGACTGCAGAAAAGGTGCTCAGGAAGCTGCTCACTCTCGTAATACAAAGCTCGTCGTTCCTGAAAGGCACTCGGGGAAGCTCATCTCTGTGTGATCTATTCAGGAATATTGCAGCCACAGCAGAATCTAAGCAGCTCAGCGTAGGTGTCGGGAGGTGTTTGGAGG